TTGAGGAACCCATGGCCTAATGGCTCCATCAATGATTTTTAAAAAAAAAAAAAAGAGCAAGAGAGAGAGAGAAGTTATTTTTTCTTCGGGTGCTTAGCACGCAAGTTTCCTCAGCCGCGCTGTGGATCATTAATTCCTGGCGCTTATTACATAACAAATATATGCTCTGCAAATGAGAGACATCTCAAAATGCTTGCAAAGCAAAGCCGGGAGTCTTGGGGCACCAGCTCATTCTCAGCTCCTGCCATGGAAATTACAGCAAATCAGCCAAGCACCTTCACAGGTTGGCATTAAGCGGCCCGGACACCCTCCTACGTTATTGATGGCTGCAGATGCCAAGGCAGTTAACCCCTCTCCCGCAGCGCCGATGTGTTTATTTTGTCCGCCGGTTTGTTTACTGTTCAGTTAGTTTGGCGTCAGAAGAAGAAACTCTATCAACCTGCAGAAATATTGATTTTATCGACTCCAATCCCAGACTCCCAACAGCTACAGCTGGTGCTCGAGGCTTTATTGGGAGGTTTATTTCCGTAAGTGAGAGGACAGACCCCGGCACCTACTTACCTTTCTGTGAGGGTATCAACAGGCAGCAGAGAGGTGTCAGACAATGGGAAAACCAGGCAAGGCACTGAGATCATATATACCTGCCCCTCACCAAGACCGCATGGCCCATGGGTCCAGCTTTTCCAGGGAGATCCACACGCTATTTGCAGAGTTTCAGAACTCCCATAGGAAACACCCTTTAACCAAAGGTTGCCCTCTTTAACCTGATGTTTTCAGATCTATTTCAAATCTATTAGTGGGATTTTCAAAACACACAGCAGAACCTGTTGTGCTCCTATAGGTTTTCATAAGTGTTTGCATTTTTAGCACTGCTGGACATCTACTCATTTCTTTGCCCCCCTGAACTCCTCTATTATTTTATCTCATTTCTCAATCCCTCTGGCCATGCTGCAGAGCCAGCCCTGCACCGCCTTTGCTGCAAGTAGGGCTCATCCTCATGAACCAAGAAACACTCCTTTGGCAGAGCCAGAGAGTCCCCAGAGCGACAGCAACGGGGGTTCCTTATACCTCAAACTCCTCCTTTGAGGAAGCACACTTTCTGAAGGGTGGACTTCAACATGCGGCTAAAATAATGAACATCAAAACAACAGCGCTCTTGTCTGGAGCTGCTAAATCCTGCGTGCTTCTGAGGCAAGAAGAGTTATCAGCTCAGCGCTGCTTGGGTTAAGTTAGGATTCAACCCAAGCTTAAAGTCGGCGACAGCCTTTGACAAATAACCAAATCTGAAGCTGGATGCCATTTACGCCAGTTCTGCACACATCTCAGTGCAGTATTTGGCTTCTGTAACAGGACAAATGACTCAGGATCTACAAAATGCTGTGAAAAGCATCCTGCTTCTGCAATCAGACACCCGTACTGTGCACAACGGTAAAAACATAGGCATTCATTTTCCTTTGAATTCATAACCCACAAGTCAGGTCGGGTAATCCACAGAAAATCTCAATCTATTATAGCAAGACGAAGGACCGCTGCTCACTTAGTTTAAGCTAGAACAGGTGCCTCTTTTAAGTTTTGGGCGCACTGAGCTGGATTTCCAGTCTGTCATTTAACAATGTGCTGGGAGGGAGGAAACACCTCTGCCATTGCAGAAGGAAGACGCACAAACTGGGCAATGAAACAGCGCAGCTCTAGCAGAAAGCTCAGAGGACAGGTTATTCGTGTTATATGTACATCTACTCAGAAGAGAGAGGAGGGATGAGGCCATGGGGAAGGAACAACACCCTTCTGCACTAGACCAGGCCAGACCATCGCTCTCTGCCCTGTCTCCGTCTGGGGACAGGTCACTGGGGATGGTCATTGCTGAGCACCGAAAAGCTGCATGGAGACCTCCACCTGCCTGAGGCATGCTGGCTGCACAGCCCCTCACCCCAGCTCAGCAGGCTGGACTGGGAGAGGCCAGGAAGGCTGGCAAAAGAAATGCTCCTGGACTTAGGCAAGTCGGAGGTTTCTCAGGAAGCAAGAAGTTTCTTTCCCCCTGAAATGTGCATTTCCAGGAGATGCTAGAGCAGAAAGTCATGGTGGGTGGAGGAGAGGCGAGAAGCGGGACATCAGGAAGCTTTTCCTGGGATGAGTGGTGCAGGGCAGCCCCCCTCCTCCTCCCTGGGAACCCCTGAAGCCACAGCAGCTCCTCCTGCACCCTGCCACGTAGCTTGTCCTTTCTGCAGCCCAGGGTGTCGTTCTGATTCCTGCCTTTTCTCTGCTTCATTTCTCTCTCAATTGCCTTGCTTGCCCCTTATTTTAATGCCTGTTGTCACAAAGCTGTAGCAGCTCTCTCCCTCTAGCTGCCTGCTATCATCTGCAAGAAATCAGCTTCTGACTCTACCTTTTTTCCCCCAGGCTGCATCAGAGAGGCATCTAGACTCTCCCACTGAGATCAGAAACCCTTCGGTAAAGTGGGATTGAGGGCTGGAGGAGAAACCAAGAGCACCTTCCTGTTCACAGCACCAGTGGGTGACACAGATGGGCTCCCAGCCCCATCACTGACTACGAACTGGCCAGCCTGGGACAGGCACACACTGAGAAGTCTGGTTGTAACAGCAGCAGCAGCAAGGAGAATTACTGGGAGACTATTTCTGCATACAGCTGCTGCTCCTGTTCCTGCTCCCCCTTCCCCACTTTTGGAAAATCTCATCAAAGACTGTATAACCATGACTAGTTACAGGTAATACAAAGGTCTCTGTGCTGGTTTCTGCTTGGGGAGGATGAACCTTTGTCTGAACCAGCAGGGGACACGCCAGAAACACTGGAGACACGTCTCGCATGCAACTTCCCTCTTTCTGCTGCACTTTCATTTCCATAGAGGCTGGTGGTGGAGACTACTGATAGCTCAGATCAAAGTGTCAGAGCCAAGTGCAGCAAGGTGATGAGCTGCTGCCTGGGGTGGCAGTGGGATGCTCAGCCCACAACACCTGGACATCTCTGACCGTGCGTGCACTGCAGCAACGGACCTGCTAGTGGAGAAGTGAGCAGCTCCAACCTCCTTTGGCTCTGGGATGTTACAACCGTTGGCACCATCCTCTAGAGCGACAGAGCTGGGAAGGTGAAAAGGGTCTGGGGCCTAACCTGAAAGAACAGGATAACATAAGAACACGCCTACCTAGCTTCTGCATGCAGGTATGAGCTTGCTCTGCCCGTTTCCGGGCACGAGTAGGTATCCTT